CACCTTTGAACCAAGGCGGACAGTATTCAACCGATTGACGAATGTTGCCCGACCTGCCAAGCGATGATGACACTACATGAAGAAGGATTTGGAGACCGAATATCATGTGGTCACTATCAATGTGATTGGCAGAGGGAAAGCTCCTAGCTCTGATTACTTGAAAACAAGCCGTTCTCCGATCGTCAGAGAAATTTGTGATGAGTTCAAAGGAAAATATCGGCACACTCAGACTCGGACATGAGCCATTCCTCTTGTCATTTATAAACAGTTGGCTAGAGGAGCAACTTCTGATGAAGAACACTTGGCCATTGCAGAGTCTCAGTCCTCGAGTTCTTTCATAACACATGAGAATGCTGTTTACATGACTAGGAGCTCAAATGACCTAGAGAGGAGAGTCGGCGAACATCAGGCCATGCTGCAGGCTCAGCAAGAGACTCTCAATCAACTGTGAGATCTGATGACTCAGTTTGTCATGAAAAAGTTCAAAAAGCTGAATCTTCCTGAAGGATAAAACCATCAAAAGGCAAGGATAAAGTGAATGAGAATTCAGACCATGAAGCTCACAGTATAAAGTCCACCTCTGAAGAAGAAAAGGAGGGTGAGAATGAACATAATTCTCAGTCGGCCATGATGGATGAGATGGAAGCTCACCTTAACACAATTGCCAATAGGAGCGAGCTCCAAAATGATGGAGTAGTGCAGCCTTTTCCCGCAGAATGGGACACAACTCCCTATCCTCTAAAATTCAAGTCCCCGACGCAATAGACTTTTGATGGCACGGGATCACCAAATCAACACATCTATTAATTCAAGTCGCAAACTAGAGATATGATAGAGAACGATGCCATATTGACTCGTTTGTTCATCGGCACCCTTACGGGGGTCGCCTTCGAATGGTTCATGAAGTTACCTGCTGGGTCTATTCAGAAATGGGTAGATCTAGAAAGGCTTTTCTTAGCCAGGTTCTTTGAAGATGATTCATAAGTCTCTGTCCCGACCCTTCTCACAACTAAGCAAAGGAAGGGAGAATCCATAAAGACCTTTGTGGAGAGGTTTCAAAGTATGGCTCTATAATGCCCATCAGGTATGACACAATCTACTTTGGTGGAAACTTGCAGGCACAACTTGTAGACCCATCTTCTGGCTCATATAGGAGTTGCGGAATATCGCTCTTGGAAACAATTGGTCTCACAAGGAGAGCAGCCAGAAGAGATCATTACCTGGGTCAAACCTGAAGAAGCAAACAAGCCAAAGCTGCAAGCACAACGCAAATAAGGTAATGCTCCCAGATCCAAGGGAAAGGAGACTATGGTCGTCGATACTAGCACCCGAACACCATCTGCGAAGCAGGGCAAGACATCAAATCAATAGAGGGCACCCAAGCAGTACTCTTTCAAAGAGGAACATATAGACAGCCTATTCCAGCTACTTTGGAAAAATAATAAGTTGAAACTTCTCGAAGTAAAGAAACCTAAAGAAGCAGGAAAAGTAGACGATCCTAACTATTGCCGATATCATAGAATGCTAGGACATCCAACAAGGGGATGCTATATCTTTAAGGATATTCTGTAACATCTGGTTGATGCTAATATACTCAAGCTAAAACCAAAATAGAAGACTGTGTCCACCAATTTTATATCGGTACAGTTTAGAGATTTTCCTCCTATAGCAGCAGCGGACAGTGTTGTCCCAATCTCTAAGGGAGAAATACACATGAAGAATGCCGATCTGCATGGTCAGAAGGATAAAATATTAGTACCCGTCACTACTCCATAAGGAGAAATCATGTGGGTCCATCCTGACTTAATTGAAGACCAGCAGTGGAAAGGTGCATCAACGAAGAAGAAGAGAGGCAAGACGAAGTCATCCAATATGATTAGCCCCTCGATAAATGAGGATGATGATCAGCTCAAACCTCTCACAGACTTGGAAGAAGAGAGGATCGTTCTTGCGATAGATCAAGGAGGTAACCCTAGCACCCGCTCAGGGAAAACATATTTGAGAAATTATAGCCAAGATGCCCAAGGAGCAAAGGAGCAAGCCCTAGAGGCTGGGGGTTTTGCTCCCAAAAAGGTAACCGATAAGAGGAAACAGAAAGAGCTTTGCTTCAACCAGAACCGTCTTCAATAGGAGACTGGAGGATAAAGCAAACCCTTCTAATTCAACGTCATTGCGCAATTAGCTAACATCCCTGCAAGAATCACATTGTATGAGTTTTTGCGATTGTCCAAGACCACAAGGGAAGCTCTAATTAAAGATTTGACGAATACGGAGAGCTTTATTACTCAGGTCACTCTAATTCCAGAAGCTTCCAAAGAACAATCTTGTGTACAATGTCTACAAGCTGTAAGAAGTCTGCCACGCATATCATTCACTCAAGAAGATATGCAGGTCAAACACAAGCATGATAGACCTCTGTATTATACGGGGTATATCAGCTCTTCTGAAATCAGTCGCGTTCAAGTTGATCCAAGTTTTGCACTCAGCATCATGCCTTACCGGGTCATGCAAGTCCTAAGGATCCCCCTGCACCGGCTGAGTTCTACCCAGACAACCATTTTCAGCTTCAACGCTAATAGCACATAACCCCTGGGTAAAATCAAACTCAGATATTAAATCAGAGATCTCAAGTCTACTACATTATAGATGCAGACACGTCTTATAATTTGTTGTTAGGAAGACCTTGGATTCATGCGAATCATATTGTCCCATCTACTCTTCATCAGATCATGAAATATGCTGACGAGGAGGGAGAAGTTAGAACTCTGATTGCTGAGAAACAACCCTTTAGAAGGGTGGAGAACTATCACACTGACTCAGTCTTCTACCTAGATTCCCAAGAGCCAGAACAGTCAAATGAGGCCACCGACAGTGGTAACGAAGTAGACATCGAACCTGATCCTGAGGAAGATTGTCTATGGGAGTTGAATTTCAATGTAATGGATCAGAGTGAGGATAATAATAATGTACCGAGTGAGGGCGAGTGGTACATTAATGAAGATTCAATTTGGCGTACTTGTCTGATGTGTCCCCTGAACATGAACAAATAGAGATTGATACAGATGCATGTACTGATTCATGATGCACATTGCATATTAAGGCATCACTCACTTTGCCTCTAAAATCCTCCTACACCACATTTGAAGAGATGGAGGACGTACGAAAGGCTTTCTTCATGGTCCCATCCAGAAGGAAAAGGCAAAAGCCGATCCATTTCGGTAGGGTCAAATCTGAATTACGCAAGCGAGAGAGTTCAGAAGAGGACCGAGGAGTCCCCTAATTTCATTATCATGAACCTAACTCCATCAAATTGATGAAAAGAATTGGTTATGACTTTGGTAAACAAGAAGGTTTAAATTTTGGGAAAGGAAGACGAGCTCCGATTCAGCTTTCTACTCCAGAAGGAAAACCTCTCAATTATTACCATAAAACTAAAAGAGAATTAGGTTATGTCTCAACTCCTCCTCTTTCATAAGATGAAATAGGCAGCTATCTATGTCAAGACCATTCATCTGGAACATCCTCATGGGAATCCAATGTAAGTATCAGGGCAATATTCAAAAGCGTGTTCGTGAACATGGTTTCAGTTAGTCATCCAGTCAAAGATGTAGAGAATGACCCAGAATTAATTAGATCAACCGACGATCCTTGGATCAAACGCCTTAACATCTTATGGGATATGCATTTCGAACAGCATGAACCATCCACCGAGGATAAGGTGATCCAGATCAACATGAGGGATGGATCCGATTCTAAGCCAATCTTCATAAGCGAGAGCTTATCACCTCCCGAGAAAGAAGACCTCATATCTCATTAGAGAATATATAGATGTCTTTGCTTGGAATTATGAAGACATGCCTTGTCTTGATCCCAAAGTAGCCATGCATCGTCTTAACATTAATCCGGATGTGAAACCCGTCAAACAACAACAACGCCAGTTTCATCCAGAGATCATGGAAGCAATTGAGTCGGAAGTCAAAAAGCTTATTGACTTAGGCTTTATCAGAGAGGAACAACATCTTAACTGGTTTGCTAATATCATTCCCATGCCTAAGAAAAATAGTAAGGTCCAAATTTGCATTGATTTTCGTGACCTAAATGCTGCATGTCCAAAAGACGAATTTCCACTCCCCATCACAGATGTCATGATTGACAATACTTGCTGGTATGAGAGGATGTCTTTCATTGACAGATTTTCAGGATATAACCAGATTAAAATATACTCTGAAGATGAAAAGCACACCACTTTCAGAATACCCCTAGGGGTGTATTATTATATGGTAATGCCTTTTGGATTAATTAAAGAATGCTGGTGTAACCTATCAGCGTGCCATGAATACAATCTTCCATGAACATCTACACAAAAAGATAGAGTGTTATGTGGATGATATCGTAGTAAAGAGCCAAAACAAAGGCGATCATCTTATAGATCTGAAGATGATGTTCGATATCATGCGAACACATCAACTGAAGATGAATCCAACCAAATTTTTCCTGGGGGTATCTAGCGAAAAATTCCTTGGGTTCATAGTTACATCCAAAGGGATTTCTCTCGATCCAAAAAAGGTTCATGCTATCCAAGAAATGCTAACACCGAGAAATATCAAAGAGCTCAGAGGCAAAAGGTTCATGCTATCCAAGAAATGCCACCGTTGAGAAATATCAAAGAGCTCAGAGGCCTACAAGGCAGATTGGCATACATCCGGAGATTCATATCGAATCTCTCAGGATGTTGTCAGCCCTTCACCAAGCTAATAAAGAAAGGAGTTTCATTTATTTAGGATGGAGATTGCCAAAAGGCATTTGAGGAGATTAAAAGATACCTTATTCAGTCACCTGTGCTTGTGGCCCCAACGTCACAGAAACCTTTACTGTTGTATGTGAGGGCCATGGATCATTCCCTCGGAGCGTTATTAGCTCAGAATAATGACCAAGGACATGAGCAAACAATCTACTACCTTAGTAAAACCATGATTGGAGCCGAACATTAGTATAATCCGATGAAAAAGGAGTGCCTCGCCTTAGTGTTTGATGTTCAGAAGATGCGATACTATTTGGTCGGACAAACAATCCATGTCATATCTAAAGTAAGTCCTTTGCGGGTGCTCATGATGAAACCATCTTCTCTGAATTATTGTCTAGCGAAATGGGCACTCCTTCTGTCGCAATATGACATGCAATTTATAACCCAGAAGGCTGTTAAAGGTCAAACCGTAGTCGATTTCTTAGCCGATCATCCGATATCTAAATTATCCAAATTATATGAAGATTTACCAGATGAAGTCACCCCCAAAGCTTGTACAGCTCAAGAAGTTATACAAGTTTGGAAGTTGTTCTTTGACGGTGTGTCCAGGGCAAACCCTAATAGAGGAATAACTACTGGCGTGGGGGTGGTACTTGTATCTCCAAACGGTCATGTAATTCTAAGAGGATTCTCTCTAATCGAGCCATACACCAACAATGTAGCGGAGTACAACGCTTTGCTACTAAGGATGCAGTTGGCCGAAGAACTCAACATTCGATACATCGAGGCTTATGGTGATTCTCAGCTTATCGTGAATCAAGTCCGAGGAGAATATGAAGTACGTAATAAGGACTTAGTCCCATATCACTTTGCCGTGCTAGAGTTAGCTCAGAAGTTTGAAGGCTTTTTCATTGAATACATCCCACGAGCCCAGAATACATATGCAGATGCTTTAGCTTCATTAGCAACTTCATTGGCATTACTACCGAGAGCTGAGACGACGATATTCATCATGGGCCGTGACTTGTATCACCCAAAATTTCCCTTAGAACACTGTTCAAATGAGACAATAGCAGAAATCGCCTGTGCAACTCAATTGAGCTAGAACCAAGGGATTGACGATTCTCGTATATTAACTATGTCTTGTACGGGATACTACCGGATGATGCTAAAGAGGCAACTGCCATCAAACAAAAGGCTCTTTGATTCTATTATGATGCAGTCTCTCAAACCTTATACTATAAATTGCATGATGGAGTCTTACTTTGTTGTCTCTCTAGAAGAGAAGTACAGGAGGCTCTTATGGTAGCTCATGATGGGATGTGTGGAGCTCATCAACCCGAAGCTAAATTAAGACCGTCTTCGACGAATTGGCTATTACTAGCCAAAGATGTTTTTGGATGCCGTTGACTATGCTAAATGTTGTCACGCATGCCAAATTCACGATTGTTAGACCCTAGAGGGGGGGGGGGGGATTAGGGTCTTATGCTAATCTAATCCGATTAAATGCCAATTTAAAATTAATTAATACGTTATCCTAGCAAGTATGAAATGCAACAATATATATGAACTAGGATAAGCAATATACAATATGATATATCCTAGCAAAGAGGCATATAGTGAAATATATGCAAGAATATATAAACTAACACAAGGGGTAAACAATCTAAACAAGATAGTGGATGATATAGATAATGAGTGCCAATGACAAACTCAAACACACGATATGATCACGGAGTTTGGACCTTCCGTCCTACGTCTCCGCTCCCCACTCCCGGGGAGAAATCCACTATCACAACCGGGTTTTCTACGTTCACCTGAATAACGTTTACACCTCACAGTATCGGTTTTCAACGCTCACCGATCAATGTCGCTCCTCACAATTGGTTTTCTAGTTCACCGAAAACTTCACAACACACTCTCGGGTTTCTAGCTCACCGAAAACCTTACAACACTCACAATGTAACAAATATAAATTTGTTCTCTACAATAGATGAGAACACAATAAAGCACAACTCAATGTTATAATCTCTCACAACCCTAATATACTATGTATGCAAATACAATAAGCTCAAGTGGGTGTGTGTAACAATGAGATTCAATAAATCAAAACTAAACTCAATTAAAATCTAGCATATAGAAATTATAAACAAAATAATAAATAGCTAGAAATGAGTTTAGAGATTCTTCTCTGAATAACAAGATGGAGAGATGGAGATTGAAGCCCAAACAAGAAGATGATCTCCTCCACTTGTGAAAACTAAAACAGCTTTAAACTAAACCCTTAAACAAGCTTAAATTCTTTTTAAAACCCTTGTTTAAAAACTTCTTTTTAAAACATTCTTAGACACATGAAAGAGATCAGCAATGGGGTATATATACCCTCTCACAACTCAGCCAAGAAACCAGAGCAAAAGACAAAACAGCCCCAAGGCAACGGTCAAAAAACTAGCCGTTGGAAGCTGAAGACAACATCGTCGGTCGACCGAAAAATCACATTGAAATCTCAGCCAAAGCCCCAAAACAAGAAAGACTAAAAACCCCAGAAAAGCCAGCTCAGAAATAGCCGTTAGAACAACGGCTCTATTGTCGTCACCGACAGATCGTTCGGTCGACTGAAAAAAGAATTCGGTCGACCGACGAAAAACCGGTCGACGCGAGCAGGTCCATGATAATACACATGCTACAAAAACTGGTTTTCTAAAAAGACTTCCCAAATGAGAAATATCATCATTTTACAAAATAGTCCAAAACATGAAAATATAAACACATGAGTTTGATGTTTTGACCTAAACCAACTTTTAAAACTTTACAAAATGATTTTATAGACTTTGTAAAACATGTATAAACTGATATTAAAGTCTACAAACTAAGAATACAATATTTTCACAAATACAATAGAAAATGAAACCTATGAGTATGTATATGAAAATATATTTGTTTCATATCTAAGTAGATAAACCAAATCACAATATGAAACATGTAATTTCATATTTATAAACATGAAAACCAAAACTTGTGTTGTATATATATGTGATTACATATATATACAAGGAAACTAATAAAATGTGTGTGTATAGATAATTGAGCTTAGAGTACTTAACACACATAATATAAATCCTAAACTACATTACCCAAGCAATCTTGATCTTCAATGTAGCTCAACTTGGTACACGTTGCGGATGAAGCTAAACTTGGATCTTGAACTTGAATTGTACGATGCTTCACTCCACAATTCCGCCAACCTCCATTTGATATGATCGTTAAGGCGCAATTCCATCCATCCTCCAACGATGTTGTTTGTCTACAATACATAGGAAAATACAAATACTAGACAAACAACATTAGTGGTAAATTGTTTGTTAAACATCATCAAAACAAGAAGGCCAACAATCTCCCCCTTTTTGATGATGACAAACAATTTACAAAAAGGAATATATGCATGAAGGAAATGAACATATACAAGATAATAACTCACATGCATATAAACAACCAAGATAGATATACTCACAATATTTCTCCCCCTTTGACAACATCAAAAAGGGGACAAAAGGATTAAGAGAGCGAAAGCTCCCCCTATCAATAAGCATGGGTGAGTACAAAGCAAATATAGGGAATAGCTCCCCCTATCAAAAAGCCATATGAAATATAAGCAATAAAAGATCATGGCAAACATGTGAGCAAGCATAAATAATATGCCAAAAATCACTCACATTCAAGAGATAATGAGAACATATATAAATATATCAAGATGAACATATTGTCTCATATCATAAAAGCCAATGTATAAAATAGATTTATGAAATCAAAAGAAGAGAAACATGAGAATCATGTAAAAAGTTTTCAAATGAAAACAAATCAACCAATTGAAATCATAAATCAAAGTTTAAATCATAAAACCAAATCATCATTGATTTTCAAAAATCAAGAGAGGCAACTATATCTAGCTCTTGAGATAGTATCAACCCATATAAACATTTTAGCACCCGGTAAACAAGATTTGGGAATAAACACCCAATAAACCCGGAGGGTTATATAAGTACAAACCTCTCATCAAAACAAAACAAATAATCATGAAAACAAAAGATTTTATCAATTATAAATTTATTTTCATAATCAAAATATTTTAAGACATAATTTTCAAAACCAAGAAAAGGAAAATAAGAACACTAAAATTATTGGTTTAAAGTTTAAATTTATTTTGGTACCCAAAAACTCTTGGTACCAAAAGATTTAGGGACATGACCCCTATCATTTAAGCTCAAAGCCTTAGGGTTATGAACCCTCTTAGGCATATATGGTGCACTAACACGGTCAAA